GAAAATGAAGAAATATATAAATACTACAATAAATAAGGCTCTTTGAAAAAGTCCTGAGGTTTTCTTGTAGAAATGGATGTCGTTACAGCCTGGGAGTTATCGGGAAGTGGTTGAAGTCCAGTGGACAGTTCTTACTCCACTGTGGATGGTTGTGATTCATAACATATGCAGTGACCTGATGACCTGGTAGATGTTTCAGGTGCATGTGTGTGTGTTCACGCACACATTTTGTGCATTCTTACATGGCTCATTTCAGCTAGGTAAGGTTTTCTGCATTTTCTAGTGTTTCTCTCATGCAAAAGCAAATGCAAAATTCATGTTATGCTCAAACTGTTGCCTGATAGATCTGATACATTGCAACAAATTCACATTTTCAAAATAAGAGTTAAAGCAAAAGTATAAAAAAAAACATGATGAATAACATGTACTAGCTAATATCAAGTGCCAGACACAGTGCTATAGATTCCACATGAGTTAGCTTTAATTGTTAGCCACATTTTACAGATGAGAAAACTGCAGCTCAGCAAGGTAAAACTTGCCCCAGGTTACAAGACTGGACATGGTGACTCTTATCGCTATGTCATTCTTCTTTTCCTGAACAAATTAAAAGAGAAATAACAAAGTGAGGGAAATATTTGCAAACATATAAGAAAGAACAAATAATTCATAATATCCGAAAGTTTCACATCAGTAAAAAGAGACAAATAGTCCAATAGAAAGATGGACAAAGGTCAGGAGCAGGCAATTTACAAAGGAAGAAATACAAATGTTCGATAAAATTGAGATTTAAAAAAAAAGACTTTCAGCCTCAGTTAGTACTCAGTCATGCGAGACAGAACAATTCCATGTTGGTTTTTTCCACTATCAGATTGACAGAAATGGATGTGGTGAAATGCTAACGGGAGCATAGATTGTTAAAACCTTTCCAAAGCACATATACCAATCCTGTGACCCAGCGATCAAACTTCTAAGAATTTATCCTAAGAAAACAGATACATGGAAAAAGTTTGTTTTAAGAGTTGTTAGTAATGCTGAAAAGTTGAAAGCAACCATCCATCATTACGGAGTAGTTAAACAAATCCTAGTGCACCAATACAAGACAATGAATGTCATACAATATGGTACTATGGACTCTTTATTTTTTTGAGTTGGAGTCTCACTCTGTCATCCAGGCTGGAGGGTAGTGGCTCGTTCCTGGCCACCACAGCCTCTACCTGCTGGGCTCAGGTGATCCTTCCGCTTCAGCCTTCCAAGTAGCTGGAACTATAAGCACATGCCACCACGCCCGGCTAATTTTTTGATTTATTGTAGAGATGAGGTCTCGCCAAGTTGCCCAGGCTGGTCTCGAACCCGTGGACTTAGGCAATCCTCTCACCTTGGCCTCCCAAAGTGCTGGGATTATAGGCATGAGCCACTGTGCCTGGCCTTGGTACTATGGACTCTGAAAGAAGGTGATATTATGTCCATAATGACTGACACTGGATGTGCTTTGTGTTTTCTTTAAAAAGGGAACAGGGTACAAAGTAGCATATAATGCGATCCCCTTTTGTAAGACCATTTGTACACACATGCTTGTGTGTACAAGCAAGCCTTCGGCAGGAAGAAGACTAGAAGGACACATATCAAAGCATTAACAATCAATGTCTTAAAGTAGTGGAATTGCTCTTTTCATTTAACTGTTTTCTAAATTTTAAACTCCATGAAGTACATGTGCACTTGGGGTCTCGTTGGTTGAGGCATGGAGCTGTTTGCAATGTACGGATGACAACAGGAGCCTCTAATTTGGGTTACTTTTAGAGATCAGAACCCAGATATAGTTTCCTGGGGCCTCGCCTGCTTTATTAAGCAACTTAGCCCTAAATTTAAGAAAAAGCTAAAAATGGGAACAGGGGAGCAAAATGAGCTTGAGCATGTCGGCCCAGTTCCAGGGAAGCCTGTTTCTGGGCCTGGGCTCTGTGGACTGCAAAAGGAACTGGAACTTCATTTTCAAAGCTCCATAAAACCTGTGTCTTCTCCCAGGCTTCCCTTTTCTGGGTTTCATGACTCTCTGAGGAAATGAGAGCCTGTGTAATCGCAGAACATGAATGTTTGGTGCAGGGAACAGCGAGGAGACATTAGGATGCTCCCTCAGGGTGTAGCTCAGAGTTAAAGAGTACAACTGCACCCTGGTTCTCCAGGCCTCCTCTTCGCTGGCACCTGAGACTGATGAGGGCCCAGAGAGGCCCTGCACACCCTGCTGGAGCAGGGGCTCCAGGAGCATCTTCAGTAGCTCCTTCCTGCAAAT